AAGCGTCATATTTCAGACTCTAATATGACTCCTATCTGGGATTCGTATTGGGATGCTCGTCTGAGAAGGAGAACATGTTCTTTACTTAGTTTTTTTTTAGCTCATAATGAGGGCTACAACTCAGAATTCTGAGACTTTTCTGATTCTAAAATGAGTCCGAATATTTATAGGTTAAGGTCGAAGGGATAAAGGTGTAAGGTGAATGGGTTTAAAATGGCAGGTGAAACAAGTTTAGTATAGTTCAATGTTCTTTGTCAAACTAGACATACGCACATACGTGCATTAGGGTGGTCCAAAAATGCATGGGAAAAAGGATTCTTCTATACCCAAAAATTTATATATATATAAGAGGGTTGCCACCTGTTTTGGAAATGCAAAATCAGGTTAATTAACAATATAATTATTTCTATTAATAATATTTTTTTTCTAAAATACTTTTAAAGCTTTACTTAAACAAAAATTTGAAGGGTTTACAGCACTTTAAGATTCTAGTCTAAGGAAAGAAGATAAAAGAAGTTTTACGCCAAAAAAGAGGATTGATAACTGTTTTGAAAGTAAACTTTTACTTAGTCATTTAGTTTGTTATAAAGAACATCTAAATACGTAAGATAAGATATTATTTGTATACCAGAATCCTCAGGAAAGGCAAATATCGAGACTAGCTCGATTTAGATAACGATCTGAGTAAGAGCATCAATGTGATCAGCATAATTCTATGGTATTCGGTAGAACAGATTGATTTGACAAAAGCTAGTTAGATATATTATTTTTATAACCCTTATGATTTACATATCTGTTCCGTCTTTTTAATCAATTTCTTTCTAGGAAATCATTTGTATCAGGATATTGCACAAGAGAGTTTATGATGTCGGCGGCAAAGATCCTCTTGTGGGAGGATGTTTTCAGTATTTATTTATCGTCTTGTTTTCGGGCAACTAACACAGATTTCTTTTAAACAAACATTATTAAAGGTGGTACACCCACATTACTTTGAAAATGCTGTTATCAACTGCTGTTTCAAACGCATACGCGCCTCATCGAACTCAGGTATGTTCGCCAAATTTATATCCTCGCCCATATCTAAGCGATGGTCGTACAGCTCTTCGCCAAAAACATCATTCCAATCTGAAATGAGGAAGCATAAAAACCAAATGCATATTAGAAGCCAATGTACATGTACATTATGGTGGTCCAAAAACTCGTGGGGGGAGTAAAGTTCGAAACTTTAATTCTCTCGTTCCCTAGGAGAATTGGATAGTTCTGTATCGAAAAAATATAGTCCTTTAATTATTTCAAAATCAAAAAAATAAATTCGAAAAAATTGTTCGTAGAAGTGGTATAGAATTCTCGAAAATCAATATTTTTCGATCGGAAAACTCTTTTTCTCTGCAGGAAACTTCCAATAATAATACCGTAATTTTTTGAGTTCAAAATAAAAAAACGATGGTATATTTTTTCGGTGTAAAACTACCCTTTTACCCTTTTTGGACCACCCTAAAGTGTGTACATCAATCAAATGTACATGTATGTATATGTAAATCTAAAACGCTTACCTCTACTAAAATTCTGTGCATGAAAACGCACCCAAAGCGTATAACGGAATATTGTTGTGCGCATTGAATAGCCCATCACTTTGATATTCAACAGTTTTGGCTTATCACTATTAGGATGCTTTGTTGGTTCTATGCCCGGACGTGGATACTGACTGAAAGCCACATATTCTTCGCCCAAGCCGACACCCTGTAATAGTGGATATAGGCTTTTACCTTCTCTGCACGTCAATTGTTCATATGCAGGCGCTGACGCGTTGCAAAGCGGTAGCGGGGGTAAATGTGCTAAGTCCACTAAAGTTGGATAAATGTCCACCAGTTCGGCGATTGTATGCATGCGTTGAAATGTTGTCAACGGAAATTCCGGGCTCCGTATAATGAGTGGCACGCGCAACGCCACCTCAAAATTACTATACTTAGCCCATTCAGCATGTTCGCCCAATGACCAGCCATGATCGCTGGTCACCAGCACAATAGTGTTGCGTCTATTCACATGCGCGATAAATTTTCCAAACAAATCGTCAACGTATGCAACGGACGCGTAATATGCTTGACGTATCTGCGAACGTTGCAACGCCGAAATCGGTCCATACGGGAAGGAAATATTCCGATGTTTAAAGTCGTCGCGTGAACGTACATCTATATATGGATTCCAAGCCACATTCGGCATATCCTCAGGCTTATGAGTATCTGTGGTATAGTTATTGAAATCCTTGAGATGAAATCGTTCCAGAAACTGTTGCGGAAAACGAAAGTTAATGTGCGGCTTGTGAAAACCAAGCGCCAAAAAATAGGGTCTACGACGCTGGTAAGTGGTGATAAAGCGTATAGCCTCTGCGGTAGACTCAATGTCGGGCAGCGTTTTCAGTGGCTGAGTTTGTAAATGCACGGGACAGATAAGATTTTTACGTAAAACACCGCTGGCATCCGGACATACCGGTGAATTCATGTACTTCTCACTCGGTGGTCGGAAAGTCGGCAATGACCAACTGTAGGGATAGTCGTCTGAACTGTTTGATGAAATGCCCGGATGGAAAACTTTTCCAACGCCATAAGTGTAATAGTTGTGAGCTTTGAAGTATTGTGGAAGTGTGGTAAAATTCCCGGCAAAATCGCGCCAATAGTTGTAAAAGTCATAAAGGTGCAACGTATCCGGACGACGGCCGGTGAGCATTGAGTTACGACTGGGCGCACATAGAGATTGCTAGAAAGCGAATTGTAAGTGCTCTATCTATCAAAATATATGTATGTATGTTTACACCTACCTGGCTATAAGCACGCGTAAAGTAGTAACTCTCCTGGATGAACGCGTCCAAATATGGCGTATATGCCAAATGATCTCCATAAGCGCCAAGCACAGGTCGTAGGTCATCAAAAATTACAAGCACAACATTACGACGTGTTACGTTACGCGCTGCAGGCACACTAACTAAGAAGAAGATTTGCAGTAATAGTAGCAACAAAGTAGTCATCTAGGAAATTTAACATAGATTTCTCGGAGCAAATAAAACGAATTCGCGCGGCAGATTTATTCACAACGAGCTTTACTCGCTGACTCTCACTGAAAAGATAAACATCAAATGTGCTAAGTCGTGGATCCATCCATAATTTGGCTTCTTACAGAAATTGAATTTCAACTGAATTGTTACATGCACATGCGTAGATACAAATGAATGTTTGTACATATATGTATATACACACATCCATGAATCTGATGAGGTGGGCACAGATTGTATGGAAATAATAAAAGAATGTAGCTGGACTGGACATAAGTTGAATGCCTTTGAAGTACAATAGCACTTGAGCTCACACATTTTGCTTTTGCACATATTGTATGTTCATACATATGCACATATGGACGAAATTGGAACTTTTATCAATTGTTCCTTAATTTAACCGGAAGTATTATGTGTGAGTAACTGCACACACTCACATAAGTACATACATACGAGTACAAATATAAAATTTATATGCACTGTACTTTATTGTCGCACAAAAATAAGTTCGTATTAAAATTTATACAGATCATTATTTGTCATTTAGTGAATAACGACACTCATGCATACACATCCATTAGTAGAAATTTTAAAATTTTCACAAATAACCACCGCGCTTCATTAGCTGTAAGTCAATTTGGCAGCACTGCTGATGCCTATTTACAATTTCCGGTGCTCTTGTTTCTTTGCTGACCGCTTTGATTTCCTTTTTAACACTTTTTGTTTTTATCTACACTTTCCGCTTATTTTTTTGTTTTCTTTTCCACATACACATTTCTTTCCGATTTTGCTACTGTGCAAGATGGCAGCAACAATTCTAAAACCCGGCACTTTTAAGCATATTACTTGTCGGAATAATATTTACCCAAAAAGTACAGTGAAACGCTTTATCGTGCCAGATGAATTCGTCTATTGGTCGGTAGAGTATAGCAAATATACGCCTCCAATTTATACTGCGCCACACATCAATGGACAACCTTGGGCTGATGCGGACATCGGATGTGCGGACTTTCAAGTGAAATGGAATGAGCTAGATGGCGCTGTAAATCGGATCTCGTTTAACGGCATTTATAAAATTGAAAATGGATATCCGATAAATCCGATTGGGCGTACTGGTCTGCGCGGGCGTGGTTTACTGGGTCGTTGGGGCCCAAACCATGCTGCCGATCCGGTAGTAACTCGCTGGAAGCGGGATGCTGATGGAAATGTGATACGGAATAGTGAAACCAAAAAGTACTTGTTTTTAAATACATTTATTAAAATGTTCGTCTAATGTTATATTTTACAATTTGATTACAGAAGTATTTTGCAAATGGTAGCAATTCAACGTCATGACAATAAAATGTGGGCCATACCAGGCGGAATGGTGGATCCGGGCGAAAAGGTTAGCGTAACACTTAAACGCGAATTCATGGAAGAAGCTTTGGATAGCTTTGGTTAGTAAGATTTCTGAAGGAGACATTTGTGCATAGCAAATTGACACTTTTTTTTGTTTTGTTTTTAATGCAGATAACCAAAAGATGATAGAGGAGTTCTTCGCAAAAGGGGTAGAGATCTATAAAGGATATGTGGATGACTTCCGAAATACAGATAATGCTTGGATTGAAACAGTGGCGTACAATTTCCACGATGAAGATGGAACTCAGGTGGGAAAATTGATGCTCTCAGCAGGGGATGATGCCGCCAATGTTAAGTGGCTGGACACAGACAGCAGCATACAACTGCACGCCAACCATGTTGACATAGTAAAACAGGTTATTGAGCGTTTGAACGCACATTGGTAGAATGCTAGTTTATCATTTGTTTGAAAAAAGCGCAGCTATAAAAATTTTTCGCAGAAAATGGACAAAAGTTAACTTTTTTGTTTTTCTCTTTCACAAACCAAAAACTTGGCATCACTTCATGGGCATCACTTGCAACGCTGGTAAATACCGAAAGGTGTCAGTTTTGCAGGTTTTTTATTGTTGTTGTGCTTTTGTTGCAAATCAGCTGTTTACTAGTACACATTTCTTTTATTTTAAGATTGGAGTAGGTGAAGTTTTGTGGTTCCATGCGATTCAAGTTATTGCAAAATATATACAGAACATTCCGCAACCCTCGTAATCCTATGGCAATTTTTACGCAAGTTGTTAATCCGTTGACTGGCCAAAATGAATGGGCTGTACAGAGCGATGACTACGATTACCAAATGGAGCTAACATGTACCGGCTTTGGGGATATGTTGCACGATAGGGAACGCAATCAAAAATACTTTTCAGCATTGCGAAAGGCCATAGCGCGCATGCACGCCGATGGACGTGAAGTCCACGTGTTGGATATTGGCACTGGTACCGGTATTCTTTCCATGATGGCTTCAAGTGCTGGTGCTGACTCAGTTACAGCGTGTGAAGCATTTACGCCTATGGCAAACTGTGCGGAGCGCATATTAGCAGCTAATGGGTTTGGTGATAAGGTCCGCTTGGTGAAGAAACGCTCAACTGAAATGCGTATTGGTGAAGATATGCCGCAGAGGGCAAATCTATTAGTTGCTGAACTATTGGATACAGAGTTGATAGGCGAGGGAGCAATCAGTATATACAACCACGCGCACGACGAATTGTTAACGGACGATGTCGTTTGCATTCCCGCACGGGCAACATGCTACGCGCAAGTGGTGCAATCGCCACTTGCCGCCCAATGGAACACATTGAAAATTCTTGCCGATTTAGATGGAAATATATTGCTGAAACCACCAGAACAAGTATTGCAATGCAAGGGCGAAGCAGCGGTGCATGACGTCCAGCTTTCCCAATTAGGTTTAGAACACTTTAGACTTCTAACCAATCCAAAGGAAATATTTGTTTTTGATTTTAGTCAAAAGTTAAAAAGGCCTACGGAAAGACAGCAATTACTAGAAATGGACGCATTGCAAGCGGGTTCAACAGATTTAGTATTCTATTGGTGGGATATACAAATGTATGCAGATGATATGATGACTTTGAGTTGCGCTCCATATTGGGTACATTTCGATTGGAAAAAACCAAAAGATGTTCTACCATGGCGAGATCATTGGATGCAGGCAATCTATTATATACCAAAGCCTTTACATATTTCCAGCGCTGGTAGGAAATTTATGCTCAATTGTAACCATGACGAATACTCTCTTTGGTTTGACGTGCAAAGCACACCGAGCGAAGTTTTAAAGCCCGTTCCACGCCATGCATGTACTTGCGGTTTACATTTCTCTTATCCCCGTTCACGTATTGGCCAATTAAATCAGTCCATACGTAATAAAAAGTATCTTAACTATCTAGAACAGAATTTGAGCAAAGATTCACACGTACTGTGCCTTGGCGATGGATGTATTTTGGGTTTAGCTATAGCTAAAATGGGAGTCTCTTCTGTAATACTGTGTGAAAAGCATACATTTTCCAAACGATTCATGGATTCTGTACAGAAAAGCAATACAATTGAAAACGTGGAATTTGTCGACAATATAGAGAAGCTCGATCAGTCGAAATTGTCAAACCTGACGCATATTTTCGCTGAGCCATACTTCCTTAACGCTATTCTACCCTGGGATAATTTTCGCTTCAGTGAACTTTTACAAAGCCTCTTGGACAAATTACCACCAACAGTGAAAATAGCACCACATTCAGCTAAAATATTTGCAGTACCGGTTGAATTCACCGACCTTCATAAAATACGTACACCTGTGAAGCAATGTGAAGGCTTTGACTTGGGAATATTCGACCAAATGGTTAAGGTAAGTGCTAACATTTAAAAACAAATACATCTAATATAACGCACAATCTATTTACAGCAAGCAAGATCAGTACTACCAGATAAAGGTGTTGAAGCGCAACCGCTTTGGGAGTATCCCTGCAAAGCTTTAGCTACACCTCAGGAAATTTTACATGTTACTTTCAGCGATTTTAACGCGGAGTGCTCCACAAGTGGAACGATGAAAATAGAAAGGTGAGCTAGCTCTATACATATGTATCAACAGATACATACGGTGAACCAAATGAAAACTGTGACGCGACATTTTAGCATTCTCTTAAGTTTATTTATTGATTATTATTTTAAAAGTATAGCTGATTTCTTAACAAACACTATAAGTACAAATCCAAATTTCAGACTTTGTGTAAAAGTTATGAAAATTAAGACAAAACTTGTTTGCAGTTTTGTAGCCCATTATTTAAGTATAATAAACTCTTACCTCTTACCTAACACCGCCGTTAAAAAGGTTGCCAAAAACCAAGGGTAAATCTTAGCTACTTCGAATTTGCAGTTTGCAAAATTATTTTCAAAAGATGCTGAATAAAAAGTTACAAATTTTGTTGGAATTTTGCAGAATTTTCATCACTTTTGCACAAGGTCTGAGATTTGGATTTGTATGGTGTTGGTTAAGAAATCAGCTATATGTACCTTCATAAAAAATAATAAACAATAAATAAACTAAAGTAAAATAGCCAATACTCATAGTTTCGCCATGGCTAAAACTTGCTAAACTCTCGCGTCCCGGTTTATATTTGTTTCACTGTATGTTTGTACATCGAAAACTCTGATAAGCAATATTTACCTTTTAGTGATGGATCTTTGAATGGTATCGCATTTTGGGTGGAATGGAATATCGATGGCGGAACTAGTCCTAAGTCCGTTGTAAGCACTGGCCCTGTTGAATCAATCGTGCCAGGAAAATTTATTAAATGGGATATGTTTGTACGACAAGGTGTTCAATTATTTGAAGAAAGTCATACAGTGCTTAACGCGAAGAATAGTGTGCAATGGATATTGCAGTACAAACCAAAGCCGACCAAAATAGAAATTGATGTACATGTGAAATTTCCCTAATCGTATTAAAATTTTTGAATACGTTACAACCTGGATATAAGCAACCCAGAGGGACAAATTGGCGATATATGCGCCCGGCTATTAAATTTAGATCTTAAAAAAGGATAGCGTAAGTTTAACTGTAAATTTAAATTCTCATTTTACGTTTTATATTTTTATTTAATTTGCAAAAGCATACATAGAGTAAAAATATGCATACAAACGTTTATAGTATATTGTTCGCAATACGAGAAAAGAAGCTATGCAAACGCAAAGAACACTTAATTTTTTGGTATTTCCTTTTCCATTTTCGTTAGTACTATGTTGCGATCAGTCTGAGCGCTCGGTGATTGCTGTTTTTGACTAAATTCACCACCTTTCAAACGTTGGCGCAAATCTAAAGCGCGAATATCAGTCATAAGGGAATGTTGTTTGTTCTCCAAATCAACATCGATTTTTTGTGCATGTTCCTCCAGTAGGTTATAATTTGCCTTAGTCTCGTCGATTCTGTCCATCAAACGACGTCGTATGTCTCGAAGCTTTTGTACTTCTAAACAAAGTTGGTCATGAGCCTCATCCAAGCACAATTCCATGCCAGAACGTTGTGCGCGATTCTCCAAACGTGTTTCAGCAAGTTTCAGTGCATCGGCTTTGTCTCGCAAAGCCTGCTCCAGTGTTTTTATTTCACAAACTGTCTTCTCCATTTCTTCTTTCATCTGAAAGCGTAAGAACGCGTAAAAACAAACGTAATTAAATGCATATATTTCCTATTTTTTATAAATTTTTAACATCAAAATATACTTTCATTTGCTGCCATTCAAGCTCGTTTCGGGCACGTNTGTAAGAACGCGTAAATTTTTTTTTTTTAATTAAATGCATATTTTTCCTATTTTTAGCATCAAAATATACTTTCATTTGCTGCCATTCAAGCTCGTTTCGGGCACGTTGCGTCTCAAAGATACGCTTGCGTATGGCATGCTCCGCTCGGTCCTGCTGCGATAATAGCATATTGCGTGCCTTCTCACGACAGACAAATAAGGTTTCCCGTATAGCGTATGTATCGGCCAGTTCGTTTTCAGCAAGTTGCTTTATATTTTTGGTGTGCTCCAGCCATCCTTGATAGGTAGAACAACTGTAGAGTACACAAAAAAATAACTGATAATCTTCGCTATCGACTGAAATTCTAAAACAGGGCGAAACATGCGTTCCTTGGCACTTCAAGTCATGGTAACTTTGTTTAATTTAACTTAAGTAGAACTTAACTACCTAACATAAGATTAAAAATTAGCAAAATTGCGTTGTTTACTTTTTAGGATTACGCAATGGATCAGGTTTGTAGGTGATATTTGCAGCAAACTTGTTCAAGTCCAGCTGCGCTACGTCCACTACCTCAGCCTCAGCTTTATTTTCGACCTCTAAACCGAGTTTGAATTTAACTTCCTCCAAACGATTGAGCTTTTCCCAAGCGTTCTGACATTGATCGGCTAGAAGTCGTTGATTATTCTCGATTACCGCCAATTCATTTTTAATCTCCGTATCTGCATCGTCATAAGTCAATTCAGAGCCTAAGCGACAATCGCGCATTGTAAGGCATTCACCAACAACACTAATGGGTGTCTGCATAGCTTCTAGTTCTCGTTCTGTTGAAGCTTTCTCCTCCTCCAGCATTTTCACTTCCTTCACAATGCGATCCAGTGTTCTAGCGACAGTTTCACGCCAGCGCGCTAACTCTGCAATACTAAAAAAACACTTACGAAAAAATTTAGCACTTAACCAAATGCATACATATTTACCGTTCCGCTAATGCCTCATTAGTTTCATAATTGATCCAGTCGGCCTCGATGCGCGTTTCATTGCGCAAGTTACGTGAACATTGACGGATATCGAAAGCATCACCACGCCTTGCATCCGCAACGTTACGTAGTTGATTCACGCGTGCATTCCAATCGGATAATGCCAAATGCGGCACCGGCTTCTCCCATGTTATAACGGTATTATGGGCCATAGCAATTATGTATGGAAATTGATAGAATTTTTTTAAATATTTATATGTGTTTATTTATTCTTCTACGAAATTAATTGTTATCTATTTAACATTCAATTTAGCTTCGTTCTCGATAAACTGAAAAATCGTTTTGAAATTGCTTTGGTTATATTCGAAATACATACATATATATGTATGTAAAATGGAACATAAAAGTGGAGAATTACTTCGGTATAGGAATGTCTGAAGTGGTCTGAAGTAAACTAATGAGTGCACAACGCTTGTTTGTTAAACAAACTTGATATTGGTATCCGGTGGATACCCATTATGCGCAGTGTATTGGTGGTTGTCGTGGCAGCCTTTAATATTAGCTGAGTTAACAGTCAAGTCTACGTAACCGGAACAACAGAGATTTATGTATAATGTATAATTATTGTACAAGGACGCGGTTCCGACTCACATCGAACAACCACTGGACGCCGGACCGACGATCATTCCCCGACAGCCCGTTCTAAGTACCGGAATGACTCGGGGGGGTTTTAACCGATCAAGGGCTGTTGTTTGCGCGACCTAAACCCATTTAGATCGGCGAAACCCATCAATCATTTTACGTTCATGGAGCAATACCTTGCAACTGAATTGCTCCGCATCCTTCTTCTCCAGGCGGGTATTAAGCCCAACCCCGGACTAGAAACATACTTCTGCTGCGTTTGCTTGATACGACTCCATCCGAACTCCACTTCGGTTAGGTGCAACTCTTGCAACGGATGGAGTCACTCAAGATCTTGTTCTGGCCTTAGGACTCACAGGGAGTGGACCACAAGCTTTTTGGCCTCCCTGTCTATAAGCCAAACGGCATCATCCGCCTCCACGGCTACCCATGTTACCGCGCCCCCTGCTGCAGAGCGCTGCCGTTGCAGACAATATCGCACCCACTGCAGCCACCCACCATCAGGAAGCAACAGCAAATGCGATGGGCGCAACAGGCCTAAGGTCGATCCCACACGTCCCTCACCCCGCGTACCGCGACAAGCCTCCCAAGGCATACGAAACTCGTAGAACTGAACTGCAACGGACTCCACAGCCAGTTTGAAGAGATAGCAGTCTTCAGTCAACCTCATACCTCTCATCATCCCTGATGTGTGGGAGAGTTGTCCCACTGCTGAAACCGGGGAAACCCGCCCACAAAGGAGACTTATCGCCCGATAAAGCTCGTTTCCCCGGTCGCAAAGACACTAGAGACCCTGCTACTCCCGTACTTCAACCACCACCTGACCTCTGCGAAGCATCAGCATAGTAGCCTCGCACGGTGGAGTGCAATAAGGCCCCCGGAAATAACGCCCATGGGCTTTATTTCCTAAAAAAAAGAAATAAAGCCCGCGGAAATTGTTGTCTTTTCGAAAATGAAACTAAGCCCGCTTGCTTTATTGCCTTTTGCCGGTGGGCATTATTTTCCTTTCGATATGGCAATAACGCCTGCGGGCTTCATTTCCTAAAAAATGAAATGAGAGCCTGTTGGCGCTCAACCGCGGCGGTCCGCGTTGGCGCCATCGCGCGACCACTGAAAAACCTAAGACGCTGAGGACAAATATGCGCATCGCATTGAAGACTTAAAAACAGGGGCTTTATTTCTTTTTCAATGCAATAAATCAAACGGGCGTTATTTCCTTTTCTTTAGGAAATAAAGCCCGCTGCCACTATTGCTCTTTCGCAAAGGAAATAAAACCCGCTTATTGCCTTTTATTGATGGACGCGGTTTCCCCTTCGAAATAAAAATAACGTCCATGGTCTTTATTTCTCTTTTTTTGGGAATTAAAGCCCATGGGCGTTATTTCCGCGGGCCTTATTGCACTCCACCGGCTCGGACTTGTCAAAGGCATTTGACCCTGTCTGTCATTCCACGCTACTAGAAGACATAGAGGATTCCTCTCTCCCACAGGGACACAAACGGTGCACGGCGAATTATATGATTGGTAGACAGTCGTCAGCAATCTTCCGAGATCAAACCTCGAAACCTTGAAGAATAAAACAAGAGGTTCCACAAGGTGGTGTCCTCTCCCCCTTACTGTTCAACTTCCACATCTCGTGGCTTCCCCAGCCACCTGAGCGAGTTTCCCTGATCTCATACGCTGACGACTGCTTGATATTTGCGTCTCGTAATGGAGTTGACATCGGCTTTCTCTCCAGCCTTTCTCGCTTCTTGACTACAAGGAACTGAACAATCTCCCCAACGAGATCAACGGCGACACTCTTCACCACCTTGACGAAGGAGGTCAGGCTTCAATTAGTTATTCACGTCGATGGCACATCTTTACCGACAGTGAACAACCCAAAAATTTTAGGGATCACCTATGATAGCCTGCTCTCCTTCTCAGAGCCGCAACAAGGTCTTCAAGTCGCTCGCCAGCAGCATCTGGGGCAAAGACAAAGAAACGCTGGCAACATAGTTGGACGCAGTGGACGAAGCTACAGACTTGTCAGAACGCCGGACAGCGACAGGGTGCCTTCTGGTGTCGCCAGAGCACCACCTACACAGCCAGGCCAAGTGCTCCCCATAAGGGAGCACAACAAAATGCTCTGTAAGCAGTTTATGGTGGGGTGTCACAGAAATGAACACCCTAACAGACCCTTGCTAGAGGAGGAGCCTCCACCCAGGCACGCAAGGGGGCACCTATTCATTTATACGGACGCGGTCCAGACATATATAGACCCACCACTAGACCCGACGACGTACCGGCGAGCGATCAACAGCATTCCATGCAGTCGGTCACCACCTACTCGGCCTATGAATGCCGTGATCGGAGCCCAATCACCACCTGTTGCAGAAACGGAGCATCAACTGCCAAGAAACCCGCGTTACCCTGGCCCAGTTACGGTCTGGTTACTGTAGCCGCCTCAACAGCTACCTGTCCAGACTCCACCTCAATGTCCCCAATGAGTCTCCGGTATGTGGAGACTCCTCGCTCGATACCAACCACCTCTTCTCATGCCAGCTCAATCCCACTCAACTAACACACCTCTCCCTTTGGTCCAACGCTATTAAAACTGCCCGTTTCCTAGGCCTACCGTTAGATGAGCTTGACGACAATGATTGAGGGATGTACCGAAATAGGCGGGGCTTAGTAGTGCCCTACAACAACAAGAACAACAACGCACCGACAAGCATTTCCACAACACCTCGTTCTACGTTCCGGAATGACTCGGGTTTTACCCGACCAAGGGCTGTTGTTTCGATGATCTAACCCCGTTTAAGTCGGCGAAATCCGTCAAACGTTGTTCCATTTAGGGGATACTACTGCTGCGTATTCTTTTGCTCAGGGCGGGCATAGAGTCAAACCCAGGGCCAGAAATATACACCACAATAGGCCAACTTAGCCCTGGATATTGCAGCTGGCTATACTCGTACCTGAGCAGAATGAATGAAGATGTGCCCAACCAGTGCCCGGCATGCGGAGAGTCACCACATGTTGAACGGCACCCCTTCGCATGCCTCCAAAATCCCACCCAGCTAATGCCCCTGTACCTATGGGCAGACCCTNCTGTTTCGATGATCTAACCCCGTTTAAGTCGGCGAAATCCATCAAACGTTGTTCCATTTAGGGGATACTACTGCTGCGTATTCTTTTGTTCAAGGCGGGCATAGAGTCAAACCTAGGCCAGAAATATACACCACAATAGGCCGACATAGCCCTGGATATTGCAGCTGGCTATACTTGTACCTGAGCAGAATGAATGAATGTGCCCAACCAGTGCCCGGCATGCGGAGAGTCACCACATGATGAACGGCACCTCTTCGCATGCCTCCAAAATCCCACCCAGCTAATGCCCCTGTACCTATGGGCAGACCCTTTAGAAGTTGTGCACTTCCTGAGGCACCTCATTATTATATTCATATTAAGATTTTTGTATTGCAATCGACATTTCGTCGATTGTTCTTCATTGTTCNAATGAATGTGCCCAACCAGTGCCCGGCATGCGGAGAGTCACCACATGTTGAACGGCACCTCTTCGCATGCCTCCAAAATCCCACCCAGCTAATGCCCCTGTACCTATGGGCAGACCCTTTAGAAGTTGTGCACTTCCTGAGGCACCTCATTATTATATTCATATTAAGATTTTTGTATTGCAATCGACATTTTGTCGATTGTTCTTCATTGTTCATAAATTTTTAACGTTTGTTCCTACGCCAAACATTTATAATTAATTTTTACATTTCACAGTTCCTGCATTTAGCACCCCAGTTGTAAGAATTTCATTATTTTCAATTGTTAACTGTGATAAATCGTTTGTTCGTCGTTTTTTCATCCCTAAAATCGAGCAAAAGCCGTTAATAAATTCATCATTTTCACTTTACGTTAAACATTACCTTAAACGTTTAAACAATAATTGGAATAGGGGCCGTTCAGCTAATAGCGTTGCGTGGACCGACCCCTTTTCCTGATTTTAAGTGCATTTTTTTTTTTTTGGTGCAAATTTGCAAGGGNCGTCGATTGTTCTTCATTGTTCGTCAATTTTTAACGTTTGTTGCTACGCCAAACATTTATAATTAATTTTTACATTTTACAGTTCCTGCATTTAGCACCCCAGTTGTAAGAATTTCATTATTTTCAATTGTTAACTGTGATAAATCGTTTGTTCGTCGTTTTTTCATCCCTAAAATCGAGCAAAAGCCGTTAATAAATTCATCATTTTCACTTTACGTTAAACATTACCTTAAACGTTTAAACAATAATTGGAATAGGGGCCGTTCAGCTAATAGCGTTGCGTGGACCGACCCCTTTTCCTGATTTTAAGTGCATTTTTTTTTTTTTGGTGCAAATTTGCAAGGGCGGTGTTAAGGGGGGTTAAACGTGGGATTTTCAACATTTTTAAAAACTTATATTTCGAAAACTATTGAACCAATTTTAAAACTATGGACACAGATGGAAAGGTGATTGAAGGACCTTTCATTCGATATATATTTATGTATATAATGTATACATATTTCTAGGAAAAGTACGTAATTATGACAATTTTTTTTTAATATGATTTTCGTAAAAGTACGTAATTAACTGCATCACCAAATATGATTATCAGAAAGAGCACAAAAATATATTTAATTTTATATATGATTTGTAACTAAAAGAATTCTTCTGCACATTATATTTGTATAAATATATATCAAAACATCGTTTTATATGAAAAAAAGCGCCGCAGGCGAAAATTGAGAATAAAAAATCGCGAGATTTTGTAATGTTTAACTTAAAGTGAAACTTAAAAAATTAATTATAAATTTTTGGCTAACGAACAAACGTTAAAAATGCACGAACATTAAAGAACAATCGACGAACTATCGATTGCAATACAAAAATCTTAATATTTTCACAAATGGGGTGCTAACGTCGGTTGGGTGATTTTGAGTGGTCAACTTGGATCATGGTCAACTTGTGGTTCTAGGAATGGCACTACTTTTATCTGTCAATCTACTCATGACAGAAAAACTAGGGTATGGCAACCCTAAATGATAAAGCAACGAAAAATTTTGCAGTTCATTAAAATTAATTTTGTGCTATTTCATATTTGTTGTAAAAGTTTAAAATTTGCTAGTTTATGTACTGGCAACTTTGTTGTGTCATTGCTAATGCAGTGATGCCAACCCAAAGGAGAATTCCCGAACTTTAGTGGTATTTGAATTTCTCGGGGGAATCGGGGAACGACTTTAAATATTGGGGAATTCAATATACAAACGATTTTGATTAGAACATTCCTATTGAGGACAAAATTGCATTTATAAATTACAGACTGTGATAATAATATTATATTTTTTATCACGGGTTAACATGAAACATTACGTAATTGCCTCGTGCAACCGTGTGGGTATTAAAGAAATTGCAACTGTGCATAGCGACTGTTCACGTTTTCGTTTGACACCCTCTTTTCTCGTTTGGTTTTCGCCACCAAGCCGTCGTATTAGAATTTTATATTATAAACACGAAATGATAAAAGAACTATCCCTATTACATACTTAGATCACAAATAATAATATTTGTTGTTTTTTTTTTTTTTAATAAAAAATTAGCGATAAGTGCTTTAAATATGCAGCTAAATACATTTTAGGCGAACGTCATGTATAGAGGAATTTTTTCAGGAATTTTGGGGAACTAGCCTCAGGGGAGCTGGCATCCCTGGTACTAATCAAGCGAACTACGTAAGTGTGAAAGAAATAACCCATTGGTGTAAAACTACACACCCGGAATTATTGCCATTATTAAAGCGAATGAGCAAGCGAGAAAGGCAGAATCGATGAGTGGTGCCACTTAGCGCGACATTGCTGCAAATATTCGATGACGACGAGAAGGAAAAAATTAACGTCGAGAAAAAGGCAAAGAGCGAAGAAGGTGGAACAAAAATAGCAAAAGTCCACAATGGCGAGCACCGGTGTTGGTAAGAAAAATTTCGTGAAAAATTAAAAAAATCGCGTATTATTGTGCATTAAAAGTATTTAAAAGTGGCTTGTGCAAATGTTGAATCCGTCGTATTGTGCGGGAAAGAGGCTTTATTGGAGTCTTTGTAAAACATGTGACGTGCCATAGAGAACCGAGGAAGCTTTGCAAGTTTTTTTTTCTTGGTTCGATTTTTGATTTTTCACGTTTCCACTCGCTGACAGCAATAAGAAGCATGAAATGTGAAGCACTTAAAAGCAGTAAAATGCACTGTTGATGACGGAAAATAAAATCGTCTTGGCCCGATATTCAGTGCAAGTATTCACATATTTAGTGGATATATATTTGCGCTGACCATTCCAGCCGGTCCACTCGTCATAGCCAGGAGCGTGTAGAGACAAAAAAATTAGCATGGATGGGGGGTTAAAAAAATCAAGAAACCAATAATTATTATGCATACCTAGGCCGATTGATGTCAATCGGCAAGATCATTATACAATTTTAAATAAATCCTAATCCAAACTTGTATATGCACATTAATCAGCTCATTAAACTCAATGACTTGACTTTTTCATTACCCTTTTGCGGTTTTAATTCTCCTCTTAGTTCCTCCAGCCTTTAGTTCCGGTTGATGGGCCAATTTTTCCTATGTTGCTTGTATTATTGCACCACTTTCCTCATGCCACATACCAAGGGTCGTATTTAATTAGATTAGAAATTGAAATGTTTCCATTAAAAAAAAAAAAACATATGCAGACGGTATTTCGGTCAATTCGTTGGTTCTCCTGCCATCTGTTGTATGGGTAGGTAGTCATAACTCGAAACGCCCAAGCACTTTTATAAATTGTAAATATATTATCTGCTAGTACTGTATTAGTTATGCCGCCAACGTAAATAAAATGCGTAGATAAGAGACTCGCAAGCTGTGCTGTAAAAAGTATTTTGGAGTGGTATTGATTCTGAATATCCCAAAGTTATGATAACTGTTAATATTTTTTTGATTTTGTGTATGTACATATACACCCAGCACCCCGCTCCTTCAGCCTGTTACACCCATTGCTTTTACAACCAATGTTTTCCTACTGCTAATTTTAATGACTCATTGACAATCGCGTGAACATCACACCTTGTGAATAAATAAATTTTGTAGTTGGTAGAAATGTGTCGTATTAGCAAACTTTTCTCCTGACGAATTTAACATTGAAACTAACAAATCTCGCAGATTAGCAATATTTTCTAGATCATGTAAAGAATAAGGATAATAATTGTTGTTTTAGTCGATTTAAGAACAAAAAATGATTCCACTTTATCATTTTAAACCTTACCAAGCTGGGGTGGGGAAACCAAGTGAAAAGCACACAGACCGCAAATATCAAAAAATGGTAAACAACTTTGCGTGAATGGCTAACCTTGGTTTATTTCTGCCTTGAGAAAGCTTTTATGCTTACATTCCTCGACTATGGCAGGCTGTCGGTATCAGCAGGTGTACTACCAATCGGCAGATTTACTGGGGAATGTAGTCCTTGTACGCGACTGACGCCCCTGTCCCTATGGACAGACCCTGTGGAAGTCGCACACTTCCTGGGCCTCCCCCTAGCTGAAATGGACGACAACGTTGACGGATGAACCGACCCGAGCGAGGCTTAGTAGCCGCTACAACAACAACAACCACGCCCTTACAAATCTAAAAGTAACGTAGTGCTATAACAACAACAAACTTAGTTGTAACATTTTCAAATAGAGAATCCCTGCAATATCATTTTTTTTCTAATAGTAGTAGGCGGCCAGGCAGAGACAACAACCTTGTTCCCACGACAGTCGGGTCTACGTAACCGGAACGACCCAGATTTATATCTGGCCAAGGACTGTCACTCCAGCAACACTCCCCAAAATGTCTTTGGGGAATTTGTATGCTGCTACAACAACAACAACAGACAACCCTCCAGGTGCTACTATGACATACAGCGTTCATTTAGCCCATTTTAGGCTCTACTAAGCACTTAGCAAAAATGTCGGGGAAATATAACTGCTTGGAAATCGTATTGACTCATCGCAATTAATCTTAAAACAGGTATAATTGCAATTTTCCCGTAATGACAATATATCAAAAAAAAAAAATGTTTGCATTACACGGAGATTAATCCTGCCAAATGATTTATGCAAAGAAAATCAACTTAATTTATTTGATTTCTGTCTCTTTTGAAGAGAGTTCCGATATAGTGTGAAATCCTACTTCGTGCCGACGCACTACGAAGCACTTTCTTATTTGAGGAGTAGACATTCGACTAAGTTACATCATTTGGCCAAACACGCAAACTTATTAGACCATGGATGAATCCACATATACTATGCCCTTTCCGCCTGTTTAAAATTATATTTGTTATCATTTAGGCCCGGCTATTCAATTCTCAAAGTTTGTCTTTTTTGTTTTGTTTTTTTTTTTTTGCAAAAGTTATGCTTAAATAATGCTAGGTATGGNCTAAGACCATGGATAAATCCACTTATGCTATGCCCTTTCCGCCTGTTTAAAATTATATTTGTTATTATTTAGGCCCGACTATTCTATTCTCAAAGTTTGTCTTTTTTGTTTTTTTTTTTGCAAAAGTTATGCTTAAATAATGCTAGGTATGGTATAGATGAGGGAAAAACAAATGCGGGTGCTCATCGACTTTAAAAAACGTACACTGCAAAGTTAACGAAACGTTGGGGTTTTATGCATACCAGTAGTGGCTTTTTTCCGAGAGATTGTTGTACTGATTTTAAAATTTTCCCTATTTTTCNTGGGTGCTCATCGACTTTTAAAAAAGGTACACTGCAAAGATAACGAAACGTTGGGGTTTTATGCATATCAATAGTGGTTGTTTCCGAGAGATTGTTATACTGATTTTATAATTTTCCCTATTTTTCAGTGGTTCCGCGAAACTTTCGCTTGCTAGAAGAGTTGGATCAAGGCCAAAAAGGTGTAGGCGATGGTACAATTTCCTGGGGTCTCGAAAACGACGATGACATGACACTAACACACTGGATTGGCATGATAATAGGCCCTCCCAGAGTAAGTATCTGATATTTGTCAGCACCATGATAAAAACTCTCATGTTATCCCAACAGACTCCTTATGAAAATAGAATGTATTCGCTGAAAATTGAATGCGGCGATAGATATCCAGATGAACCGCCTGCAATACGGTTTTTAACAAGAATTAATATAAACTGCATTAATCAGAGCAATGGTGTGGTAAGTGTGTCGATTATTTACAAATTGATAAACAAAATTTTGCATCTAACTTAATGAAAGCAATACTTTATATATATATATTAGGTTGATCATAGATTAGTGCCCATGTTATCCAGATGGAATCGGGAATACACTATAAAGTCAATGCTCCAAGAAATTCGAAGAATCATGACTTGCAAAGAAAATCTTAAATTGGCGCAACCACCAGAAGGCAGTGTTTTTTAGTTGATCACCTCAATTGTCTTTAATGACAAATCAGCAACAGTTGCCGCTACTGCCGTCGCCACTGCTGCTGCTATTGCCCTGCAGTTGCTGTCATCAATGTTGCCGAAAAACGAAGTCATAAATCTTCAACGTAAACGTCGTCGCCGTTGTATAAGTCGCCACCACTTGAACGTCTTCTCGTATGAGAACGTGTTATTATTATTATCATTCTCTTAAATTTAATTAATCAAGTTGAACCGTAAAAAGGAAACATCAAAGAAATAAAGTAACGAAAATAGTAATAATAATAATAAGTGGATGAAGTTGAAACAAATAATAAGTAACAAGAAGAAGGGAATCTAAGATAGAAATAACCACACATAAGCAAGTGAAACTTCAGGTGTACTCTTGAATAGCTTAGAAGGCTAAAAGAACTACAGTAGTGACGAACAGTAACTTACGAATTCATTAACACCATTTACACTAGAAACATACACACACGCCTAAAATAAACACACGGCCGAAAGAAAACTTGCATAACATAATTAAGATTATAAGCGCATTAAATATTTATTAATTAATGAAATATTAACTTGAACAATAGATGCAGAGGAAAAGCGTAATATATTCTATGTGCTGCTAAGTAATTATGCAAAGTTAAAGTAAAGAAATAAAGTAGCAAAAGATGTTAACATTCAGCCGCTTGTAAGCGTGCATTTATATGAAGCTTCTAACATTGAAATCGAAAGATTTAAGCACCAAACAGCGAAAACAAAATACATCTATGGAGCGACATGAACAGCAGGCAATTTCTCGATGAGGCGGCTAAGCTGCTGCATTTAAAATTGTTTATATTTTTAGTTTTTTTTTTCATTTCAACTTGCGAGTTTTTTCTATTAAAAAGACCATTTTGTTGCTCATTAGAAATATTGATGTTCCAAAATTTATAATTTTGCTCAAGTTGGATCAATTGTGTTTTTCGTTGTTGTTTTTATTTCAAATCCTTTAACATTTGGTTTGTGGCAACAAACATAAAACTGGTTAGAAGTTATAGCTTTTTAAAGAAGCGTGAAGTGAATGCATAAGAATGTACATTCGCATTTGGCTTCTGGTTAAAATAAGTAAAATTCCATTTTCTTTTTGATTCTTTCCTTAATTACTATAAATAAAATAAATTTAAAACGTAAATAAATGCATTAAAAACCAAAAATCTAAAAATAATTCAAAAATTTATGCGTTGTTTCATACGATAATTTGTCTGATGGCTTATTCTTCTACGATTAAATGTTTTTTTTCAATTGGTATTAGGAAAGCCTACAATTGTGCTTCATGTGTGGCCCATTTAGTTGCGTCCTAACTTTAGTAGTGTCAGGGTGTGCGGATGCTATGTGTGCACTGGGTTTTTTTACTTAAGCATTATAAGACAGTATGCTAAAACACCTCAGTAGTAATATCGGCTTATCAACAATTAAAATAACGTTAGTAGTTCCTCCCTTTGTTAAAAAAAAANTCAATGTTTTTTTTCAATTGGTATTAGGAAAACCTACAATTGTGCTTCATGTGTGGCCCATTTAGTTGCGTCCTAACTTTAGTAGTGTCAGGGTATGCGGATGCTATGTGTGCACTGGTTTTTTTTACTTAAGCATTATAAGACAGTATGCTAAAACACCTCAGTAGTAATATCGGCTTATCAACAATTAAAATAACGTTAGTAGTTGCTCCCTTTGTTAAAAAAAAATAAAACTTTTACAAAACCGGTTAAAGGGAAGGCACCAGTACTAGGGCTGGGATTTCGAGATATTTTAAACAGTATTTGAAAGGAATCTATCGAGTTGCAAAATAAATATAGTTCATATAAAGTAATACACAAACAATTGTTAATTTTTATACTCGGAATATCCGGATATATATACACTATTAGATTATCCGGATAGAGCTCCCAGCCCTATGCAGTACCATCAGCAACCTGGTTGCTAAATTCATCTTTTTTCTACCATACAGGTTACGATAATGTTTGCGCATAGCTATCGAAATTAGGGCAGCGTATGGCTCTACATGAAGTCCACCCTACCAGTACCTCTTAGAATGATGTTGCAATTAGCCAACACAAATAAAAACGATTGAACACCCAATTGTTTCGGTATCCCTTTAATGACTTTAGCCCTAATGATTTTCTTTTGAGAAATCGTTGAGAGAAGTCTTTTTGACCTTGAAAACAAGTAAATATCTTCAGGGAGCAGCTGATGGCAGCTTACGAGAANTACGATACATTAAGCCCACCCTACCAGTACCTCTTAGAATGATGTTGCAATAAGCCAACACAAATAAAAACGATTGAACACCCAATTGTTTAGGTATCCCTTTAATGACTTTAGCCCTAATGATTTTCTTTTGAGAAATCGTTGAGAGAAGTCTTTTTGACCGTGAAAACAAGTAAATATCTTCAGGGAGCAGCTGATGGCAGCTTACGAGAAACGGTTCTTGACATTTATGAAAACTGGACGCCAATAATGGCTTGTTGCCGCCAGTGGAACATTATTGTGGAACTTTACCCTCCGAGGGCAAAATGAAATGCTCGCAGTGGTCTGAAGAATCGAAATGCCTCTATGAACTTTATAGGTAATCCTGTGGAGTCGTTATTTTTACGTGGCTAACGCCTGCCACTTCAAGGGCAGTTTTTATGACCCTGAGTATTCTTGGAATATTATTTTTGTTAAAAATTACTCGTTCTTGGAGGATGTATTAAGGATATGGTCCGTATATGGTTAGAACGAGTAAACTAATGCTAAGATTCTGCTATCTCATTGGGATAAACTGAAAACTTGAAAATACATATCTGCTATCCAAACGCGATAGTCGTGATCTCGAACTGTTGAAAAGTATGTAATTTTAATACTTACAAATCATTACCTTGATATGGAGGCCCTAATTCATATTCACTTGAAATTCAGCTCGGCGTAAAAGTCGGGAGATTGCACATCATCGAATTTAAAATCCACTACTACATACAAAATTGAAAAAAAATCGCAACTGAAAAACTTTAGTTTTTCTAAAGTTGTATAACTACTCNAAGTGGAATATTATTGAGGACAAAATGAAATTCTCGCAACTCTTAACGACTGCCACTTCAAGGGCGGTTTTTATGACCCTGAATATATATTATTTTTGCTAAAAATTACTGGTTCTTGGAGGATGTATTAAGGATATGGTCCGTATATGGTTAGAACGAGTAAACTAATGCTAAGATTCTGCTATCTCATCGGGATAAACTGAAAACTTGAAAATACATATCTGCTATTCAAACGCGATAGTCGTGATCTCGAACTGTTGAAAAGTATGTAATTTTAATACTTACAAATCGTTACCTTGATATAGGGAGGCCCTAATTCATATTCACTTGAAATTCAGCTCGGCATAAAAGTCGGGAGATTACACATCATCGAATTTAAAATCCACTACTACATAAAAAATTAAAAAAAAAATACATAAAAATCGCAACTGAAAAACTTTAGTTTTTCTAAAGTTGTATAACTACTCTGTAAAGAAACAAAAATTTTAGATAGGGCCGTTCTATATTGAGGTAACGTAATGCAAACTACACTAAGATGAAATGCCTTATGGCCAGCTTTCCAGTGCCAGTTTAAACTTACGATTAAATTAACTGTGTGCCCGGCCGCTACCACAACAACAAATGTTTAATCTAAGTTTAAACCACAACCTGCACTGGAAAACTGGCCTTTAGACATGCACTTAAATTACTTTTTCAGGAAATNGAAACTACACTAAGATGTAATGCCTTAGGGCCAGCATTCCAGTGCCAGTTTAAACTTACGATTAAATGAACTGTGTGCCCGGCCGCTACCACAACAACAAATGTTTAAACTAAGTTTAAATCACAACCTGCACTGGAAAACTGGCTATTAGACATGCACTTAAATTATTTTTTCAGGAAATCTATAAAAATATTCCCTAAATGAAAGCGAGCGATTAAATAATCAAAAACAATCGAGTTCTTTAGTATCTTTAGCATTTTATTTGTATGTCTATTTGTTTCGTTTAATCATTACGTTAAATGTAATCTTTAGTTTAAATTGTAACAATTTTCTAAGTTGTTTTGGGAGTTCTGCCAATAATACCCTCCCCGCAGTGAAGTTTTGCGCTTTCTTCGGCTGATGGCGGTGCTTTATTCGGTATGCATAATTCGTTTACATAAATTTTCTTGATGTTTTAATGCTTCAATTTGTTTTCATAGCAAGCCCTTTTCAGGATACTTATTTATCCTTTGGCGTAAAAACAATCTTCCTAGATTTCAAAGTCGACCACTTGTGTCTCTTAATATAGTATGTAATTATAGCCAAGAAGGCAAGGATACCAAATGCCTTAATTGTAAGTTGCTTGCGGTCATCATGTTCTGGCTCAGATGTCCATTTAAGGAACGTAGCTACATCCTTGGCCAATTGACTCGTTGTTGGTGGTGTACCATCAGAGTATTCAATTACCTTTAAGCAGATAGAGACATTTAAATAGGATTCCATATCGATATATGTAAAAATATTACCTCATTGTATAGCACTTGAGCCATGGAAATAGCACCGCCTGGGAAGTACGGGTTAAAGTACTGCCCTTCGCGCAACACCACACCAGCTGGAGCATCGCAGTAGCCGGTAAGCAGCGAAAATACGTAATCTTCACCTCCTTTACGTGCTGATACAATGTAACTTAAATCTGGTGGGTAAGCACCGTTGTTTGCAGCGCGAGCAGCCTCTTCGTTCGGATATGGCGAAGGGAAATAGTCCGAGAGTTTGCCCGGACGGTCGAAGTAGTTTCCGGTATCGTCAGGACCATCTCTTACCTTATGTATAAGAGAAAAGTTATAGCATATATACATACATATGTTTACAATTAATTATTAAGTGTCAGGCTATACCGTTATTTGTTCTGCTTCTGCCTTAGCTTCGGCTTCGGTGTGGGAAACCCCAACCAAATTACGGTAGGCAATATAATGCATAGAGTGACAAGCGGAGCAAACTTGCTTGTACACTTCGTAGCCACGGCGGATACTGTAATGCAATAAAATTTAATAATTTGGTTTTTAGAATTAGGTACTTATTAGTATTTTAGAATTTTGTTTTCTCACCTTTGATGATCCAGTGAGGAAATGATGCCCTTATGACTCCATGGCATAGCTGGTGGATGGACTTCTGTACCAGAAGCTTCAACCGAGTTCTCCAGAGCAAAAAGCAGAGCTCCCAAGCCCCCGGTGACGGCACCAACCGCCGCTATGAGCTGTGTGTGAATTAAAATGCCACACAAAAATTTGGCATGAGTTTCCGTAATTTACAAATATTTATTATATATTGTTTATTTGAGTTTATTTCTTCACAATCACTCCACCACCACCCACTTCACCCTAGATGACATTGAGGTTATGTTTAATTTTTCATTATGAAATACAGCAAGAATAAACACTTGATAATTTTCGCCAACCAAACAACACACACCTTAGCCATTTAAGTATTTTTTAAGGGTATCTTGCTGATGTATAAACATAACTCAGTTATACAAACCTTCTTTTGTCCATTTGTCCAGGCTTTAGTGGTAGACAGCTGTTTGGCCTGAAAAGAAGAACAAATTTCGAGTAAATTATTACCATAGTTAAAAATTCGCAAATAAATTATTGCTATAGGTTTAATAAATATAGAATTTCAGAGGAACATATGAGGTAATTGCTCTTATGTAGCGCTCTACTATCACC